TCTCCGTCATCTGGGCCGGAGGGCCGTACGCGCGATCCCGTCGCTGATTCTCAAAGATGTAATACACTAGCAGACAGATGAGGAAAAAGGCCCCAAAGGCCAGTCCCGATATGGCGGCTTTCATGCCGGTCTATGTGATGTGTTAGTCAGTTCCTCTGAGAACGAGTACGTACACAGTCTGGATGAGGAAGGGAACGGTAGGATAGTGTAAACTCACCGGATAATGAGGCTCCTCCGACGAGAGGAAGAACTGCGGCCCGATGATGTTGCCCACACAGTAGGCGATGAATAGCAACGCGCTCGTGGTGCTCCGCTTCGTGAAACCGGCGACGTTGGAGCTGATGATACTCAGGGAGAGCGGGATGTTGACGGCGAAGACGGCGCCCAGGGACAACCCCACGAGGCGGCCTACTTGGTTCGCGTCGTCGAGGCGCCAGACCAGAACCATGCCGATCAGCGAGGTGACCGTGTTCAGAATCATCATCAGGATCCGCGTGCTGGGGATGAAGGTCGCCACGGTCGCGGTCAGGCACAGGAAGACGATCTGCGCGGCGCCCAGGGGCATCTGCATCAGGAGGGAGCGGATCTGGGAGAAGCCGAACCCGTTGATGATGATCGAGGAGAACTGTGTGATGCGGTGCTGATGGTTAGCTTGCGGGAAGGGTTGTGGGAGATAAGGGGAAACGAGGAAGGGTATGCACATACACTGGTGATGCCACCGTTGCAGAGGTTTACGCAGAAGGTGTACAGCACGAGAAACCAGGTCTGCGGATCGCGAACCGCCAGCCATGCTTGGTGCCATTGGAAGGAGCCCTCATCGGCGACACCGGTTTTGTTCGTGAGGGTCCGTTGCACGGCAATGAGGCGTTGCGGTTTGGTGAGGAAGATGGCTTTCTTGGGGGAGTCAGGCAACAGGACGATGAGGAAGAAGGAGATGAAGGCGGTGATGGCGCCGAGGATGAGGAAGAGGAGCTGCCAGCTGGCGATGGAGTGGACTTTGATGTTGCCGATGCCGTAGGCGACGACGCCGCCGATGACCGTGGCAATGCAATTGCCCAGGAACCAGGCAGATTGCCTAGTATCGATGTATCAGTCTCTGTAACGTCGTGCTATCTGACTTTTGGATGTTCATACCGAGCTGGTTGTTCATCACGCCGGTAGAACATGCCTGTAATGAGCGAGAAGCCTGGTGCAATGGCTGCTTCACCTACACCGAGGAAGAACCGAGCGGCCATCAACCCTCCAAAGTTTTTCACGGCCGCATGGCACATCAAGACACCACCCCAGAGGAGTCTAGCGATCCATCAGAAAAGAGTTGTAAAGGAGATCAGGGGAAGGAGGGTAACGGACACTGAGACGCTGATGTACTTGGCAATTGGTAAGCGTACGATGAGGTAGGAACTGGGCCAACTCCAGGCGAAATATCCGAAATAGAAGATTGCAGACGTCCACGTGTACTCCGTGCCTTCGAGATGCTGTACGGATTAGTACGAATCGGTCATAACAAAAGAGTGGACATACCAGGTCTTGTCGCAGATTGAAAAGCGTGGCCTGGCTTAAAGCAAGCTTGTCCATATACTGCATCATGTAACAGACACCCATCAGCGGTATAAGCCTGCTCTTGTTAACGAATGTGCCGTTCAGAGAGCCATGGCAACCTACACAAGATCCAGCTTGCGCAGAACCTGTCGCTCCTGCTGCGGCGTAGCTTCGAACTCCAACATTTGTCCCAGGTCGACATCTCGAGGCAGCATTTTGTCTTCCTTCAACTTCACCCCCTCCAACCCCAGGCTTTCCTCCTGAGGTTGGCTTGTAGGCTTTTTCTCCATGGCGTCACAGTCTGTGGGTAGTGAAATGGGGGTGACCAAGAGAACCACGGCATGCTGACGCGGGCGTCTCTCGCCCAGACTTATATACTCCCCATGCCATTGTGATACTCACGCCGCCACCGTAAAGTTAATCTGCATAGATAGAAAAATCTCTCCCGCAGTAGATGTCAGCTACGTCCTCGTAAATTTACCCCTTTGGCACGGGATCAACATTGCTGCTGCTCAGATAGCATAATCTATAGCTCAGAACCCTCTGCAGCTGGCCTCTTGTGGGCTCGATCGTCAGTCGCTTTCAGATCCAGTCAGGGAACGACGGGGAAAACTCGTGGGTCAAGCAGGCACACCCCAGGGGCCGGCGCCGAGTTCGGCTGCCTTCTGGGACAGCCATTAGGGCTCGGTCGGCAGTTTGACCAATTGCCGGGAGTGGCTCGGCAATTGTACCAATCCGCGGGTAATCCTGGGGCAAAAAGTCTCCACTCAATAGATTACTCGGTGCCATTTAGCGCGAAAGGAATTGCATTTCCTTTCCAACCTGCTTCCACTCCCCTCCACAGTCCCCGATCTCATGCGGAGAAATGAAGGGCAAGGCGCGTGGCACAGCAAGTCACCAACCTTCTGGTTCGCAAACCTGTCTATCATCCCCGCCCAGGCTCCACTCGGCTACTGTTATCTGCCGAGGCCACCTGATAGACTCAATCGGGTAGGTATACGCCATGCGGCTTATCCTGCATATCTAGACCCTGGTGATGATATTGATAGCGCAATCGTTTGTCAGTGGCTTCAGATTATCTCTTTGATCAAGAACAAACCCCGATAGCGGGAAACCTTGAGTTTCCCGAAAATGCGGGGTGGAAGCGAGACAGCCGACGTCAGACTTTCCGGACGATGACACCCAGCCAATCTTATCACGGTCAACTATCTTAGGAATCATCGTATTGCGCGGGGTTCAATAAAATCAGCCGAGGCTACGGCCGGGTTTCATTGACTGTTAGATTGTGGTTTGTAAGATTGAGGGGTTGGCGTAGCAAGAGTGGCGCATACAGCAAAAAGGATATATGAACTGCCGTCTTCAGCATCCGGGGTGCAATGAAAACACTAGAACACCAACCAAGCATTCGAAATGGCTATCCTGCATTCGTCACCAACAGCAGAGGAAGTGAAGGCAGCTGTCGATGCTACACTAGCATCCTTGCAAGGTCCTCTTCGTGAGCTCAATCGCACGGTACGTACGGGCATGACTCCATATTTTCATCACCCTCTCGTACTCATCCCTTCACAGATCTGGTCCAATCCAGAGACGGCATACGAAGAACATCGTGCGCATGATGTAATTTGCGAATTCCTTGAGAAGCAAGGTTTCACCGTAACTCGCCACGCATACGGACTAGATACCTCATTTGAGGCGATCAGCGGGTCCGGAGGGCGGCTGATCAACTTCAATGCAGAGTATGATGCTTTGCCGGGTATCGGTCATGCCTGTGGCCACAACCTTATCACTACTAGCAGTGTCGCAGCATTTCTTGCCCTGTCCGCCGTGTTGAAGCAATACGGTCTACCGGGACGGACACAATTGCTGGGTACCCCAGCCGAGGAGAATGGCGGAGGAAAGGCCAAATTGATAGACGCAGGAGCCTATAAAACTGTGGATGTGTCTTTGATGGCGTAAGTCTCTCCCTTTTGTTCCTTGACGGCTTCATCCCGCTGACCCATCTAGTCATGCTGGCCCTCGGGAACTCTTTCCAGGTGTTGTGGCGGATGGTGTGGGAGGTGTTCGGATGAACGCACGGAAAGAGATTCATTGCACCTTCCGAGGCAAGAGTGCCCATGCAGGAGGTAATCCCTGGGAGGGAGTCAACGCACTAGACGCTTTGGTGGCCTCGTACAACAATGTGGCTGTTCTACGCCAACAGATGTACCCGGACGAGCGGGTCCATGTTGCCTTTCTGGACACACCTAAAGTGGCAAATGTGATTCCAGCTTTAACCAGAGCGTACTGGCAGGTACGAAGTCCGACCTTGAAAGGGTTGAATGCCTTGATGGGTAAAGTGCGGAACTGCATCGAGGCTGGAGCAATGGCCACCGGTTGTGAAGTGGACATCCTGGAGTAAGGTCATGTCTTTCCTGAGGATGGAAAACATGCTGACAGTGGTAGGAATGAGCTCTACACCGATATCAAGGTCAACGACACCTTATGCGACCGATACCAAGCGCACATGGGCCGCTATGGACGGAATGTATTGGCACAGCATGAGAAGGTCTTAACAGGGTCATCGGATATTGGTTGGTCGTGAATGCTCAATGCAACATCTGATGCTAACCAGAACGCAGGAAATGTCAGCTATCTTGTACCAACACTTCACACGATGTTTGGGATCACCGATGAACCAGGCTCGTTTCCTCACCATCCTAGCTTTGCTGCTGCGGCGGGGACGGATACGGCTCACGGAGAGGCTGTGATCGTGGGAAAGTCGCTGGCACTGATCGCGTGGGATATGTTGACAGACGACGAACTATTTGCAGTGGCGCAGCAACAGTGGCGGCAGGCTGTGGAGGACTAGTTGTGGTGAGAATAATAGTGGCAGTGATGGGAGATAAAGGGGGGGGAAAGGAATCACTCCATGTTGGTCGTGATCAACTGTAGCGCTTGTCGTTTCAATGAATCAATAACGCGGTTGATGAAGTCATCGTCATTGACAGGAGAGGCTAGCGAGTCAAGTGAAACATCCGGAAGGCTCTAGTCGCATAGTTATATGACTGACAAGTATAGACAGCGGGAGCAGGCCTCTTGGGTCTGGGCTGTGGGGAGAGGATGCTGGAGATGAATTTCCATGGAACCAATTCTTCAGCTGCCCCCCCCGACCAAAAAAATAGTTCCACTCCACTTACCTCATGCTTTTCCAGCCTTCTTTTGCTTGCTCGAGTCGAGGGAAGGGGATACCGCTGACTAAGCCTCCTTCCCCGGTTTCGCTTCTTCTTCGATTTTTTCCCTGACATTCCGGACTGACTTTCTCTCTTGTGTCTTAACCGATCGGAAAAAGTAACAAGAACAAGAAACAAGCTCATCATTTCCGATCTGCTCTTCTGGGCTTCTTCTTATCACCCCCCGATCTAACTGATGCCTACCGGTTGATCGGTTCATCTCATCACTGAGTGGACCTTTTGTGCCATTCCATGTCGGGTCGGAACGCGCCTCGCTCGAAGAATGGTATGCGGCATCTGCCGACTCTTCCCTGCTAACCGAACGAACTAACAAATGACCTCGCTTCCCAGGCTGCAGCACCTGCCGCCGTCGCAAAGTGAAATGTGGTGAGGAGCGTCCGGTGTGCAAGCGATGCTTTAATTTGCGTCTGACATGCGAGTGGGGGATTCCTGTTAAACGAGGAGGGAAAGCCGGGGAGAATGCGCCCGTCCGTCATCTGCAGCCCCGGTGGCCGCCGCCCACCCGCAGCGACCCGATCACCACCACCACAACCACCGCTAATGTCGCTCCTACGACTACCGCGATTACCCCTAGCTCTCCTACGCTAATTACTGCGTCAACTACTGCGCCTGTTACTCCTATTGGGGCAACAGTTGGCATACTTAATGCCCACTATGCCAACACCTTGGCGTCCTTGTGGCCTCCGGCCCCCGGATGTGCCCCGGATTTCTCCCCGGCTTCCCCGGACGGCTTCCTCCCCACGAGTTGGCCGGTATATCACCCAGCCTATACTCAGACGCCCCCCCTCTATCCTTCGTTGTCGGGCACTGATTTTCCCTGCTCCAACGCGTTGGTACTAACCGAACATGATCGGAAATACTTCCAGTACTTCCCCTCCTCTTCCGTCGTCTTCTACTATATGAAGAACTGGCAGTGGAGCAGCTTCTGCTACCTCTACCAGGGACCTGCGCGCGTCAGCAGAGTGATTATGCGCATGATTCTGGCGCTATCGGCGAGTGATATGTACCGCAATGGTCTGGTTGTGCGCTCTCCAGGACGTCCCACGGCGGAAGACCACGGACGCTTCCACTATGGCATGGCCGTAAAGGAGTTTCGGCAGATGTTGGAGACCCCCAAACCTCAGGTTTCACTTGCTGAGATGGAAATGATCTTCGCGACAATGTTCCTCATGGTCGCCTACGAATGGCAGTTCGGTCATTGTCTGCGTCATCTACAGCTGCATCTTCAAGGAGTACGATCCCTGCTCGAAACACACCCAGAACTGTTTGAGTCCAAGGACTTCGACGAGGTGATGCTGTCAATGGATGCAGATCCCCCAGTTGGGGACGTATCTTCTCGTGTGTCGTTCATACCCGAACAATTTCTTCTGTGGATCATGTAAGTTCTTTCTATCCGTGCCCTCATACTATCTGCTAATTCTGAACTTCTCCCAGATATGTCGACATCAACCGGCGAGTTCTCGCGACAACAAATGATTCACTGACAGATTACGTGCTCAACTCTAACAAACCAGCTTTACACCCGGACCAACTTCACCGAAGCGCACGTCTTTGGAGTCGTTGCTTTTGGGGCAAGCAGTACCCCGACCAGGAAATCGCCGATGATATGGAAAACTACCGGGGCTTAGAGCTGATACACACTGGCTTCATACTGTGGCACAAGGCCTGGAAATGTCTAGGCGATCCTGCAGATTCGGCATACACCCCCGATACGTTATACGCCGAGATTCTCTCTGTGCGCGATGTAAGTCTCCCACTGTCTCTGCATTGCTTCTTTTCTAAACCCAGACAGCGTTTCTCCGACCTTCTCGTTACCGCTAAAATTTCCGGGGCCGGCTCCACCCGCCGCACGTTAAACACGATCTATATGGCTGTCAGCAACTTCTACGCGCTCATTCTCTTTCACCGGCATCTACTTAGTCCCAGCCAGGCCCCGGCTGCACTTCACCGCCAGGCTCTTACGGGGATTCTCGAAAACACACACAAGCAATACGCCGTGGACCCCCGTCTCCTACGTCGATTACACTGGCCCTTGTTGATGGCACTAATTGAGACCGAGGATCCAATTCAGCGCGACTGGCTGCGCCAGCGCTTGATAGAATTGCGTGGATTTCACTCAGAGTATCTTTGGGTCAACCAGATCGCAGAAGAGGTGCTAGCTCGCCAGGAAGCGAGTCCTGCGGAGGGGATTGATCTGGGGGAATTGCTGCGCAATTTCCACGCCTAGTTCCTCTTCACTCTTTACCATTCCGATATATGTTACTCATTGTAATAACTAAACCATAAATCTTATCTCTTCATTATATTCTAGCTCACTCGGAATAGAATTCGCGCAAAACCCTCAAGTCAAATATCCGAGCCCGCTAATGCAATGAGTCGAACTAGTTGTTGTCCAGAAAATATGCGTCGTACGCAACTTCCCCCTTAGCGCGCGTCGCCCTCCCCACAATGACCCTATTGTTCATCCACCGGTACCGCTCATGCCCGGTCTCCAGCTTGATATGCAAATGGAACCAATACTGATCGGGGTCAACCTCATCATCGCCTTCCATGAGAGCTTTCAGGACCTCCGGAGGACCGGAGCGGGTTCCCTCAGTCCTATATTGCAATCCAGCATTAGCCGTTCGACTCAGCCTGCCCAATTATTCTTAAGCAACCCCTTCTCCCACACCCCTCTCCATTCAAAACAGGCCTCTCGCACATCGTCTCCTTAGCAGCCCTGGCGAGATCACCCCAGGGCCGTGAACAAAACATACCGGATATAGATAAACGCCCCATCATCACTCTTAATCACGTAGTTGGTATTCACATGCGTGGTTTGATTCTCCTCGACGAGCCTTTTTCCGAAGGTCAGCTTCCATAATCCACTCAACTCACCACTACTAGACAATTCTGTCGCGCAAAATAGATTCGGGGGGAGGGGGAAAGAGGGCCAGGCAAAAAGCATACATGAAATCCGCCCCGCCGGGGACGACCTCCCCATTGAGGAAATCCCCGCGCACGGTGCCGGATTTGATGGGGACGCAGCGGCGACGGCCGTAGGGGCCGTGGCCGATCTCCATCGGGGGGTCGACGGCGCAGCGGAGGGTGAAGAGGTGGGTGAGTTGTGGGGGTGGGGAGATCGGGGCCATCTTTTTTTTTTTGGGGTCGTTGGGTTGTTATCGGTATCTTTTCGGGGAAGAATAATGCGGAGTTGAAGGGGCGGGAGGGGGGATTTATGTTCCTGTAGCTTGGTGAGGTAGAAGTGCTACGTAGTTCGGGGCTGGGGTGGAGTCTGTGCTGTGGTGGTGGTAGTGATGATGATGAAGTCAAGCATGGGTTCGGATGTCGGCAGTTGGGCGAGGAGTGGGATCCACTGGCTTGCCTAGGCTCTTTCTTAAGGAAAGTGTTCGGAAAAGGCGGGATGATGATTTTGTTCGAGTATTTAGTCGGTTCCTGGGTCTCTTAATTGTGGTTTTGTGTTTGGAGTCTACTTCAATGGTATGAGATAAAACAATTGGTGTACGGAAGTGGTGACATCATCTGGTGTGACTTATCACCGGGGGTGGGTTTACTGTTTTGCAGTGGTGTTGTGACAGCTCTGGTTTTGGGGATGCCTCTTATCAAATCCAGTTATCAAGTACTTGTCGGAAGGGATTTCGACTGTGACAGTGCACTGCACATTGGAGCACACTTCATTCCTGAAGAATAGTTGCCGGCGAGCATAAACATGTAGAAAGACCAAGTTCTCATTAGAGAGCACCCCATAAACGCCTACCCAGATTGATTATGCACATATGCCGGTCAGCCCGATCTCTCGAAGACCGACCGGCTTCCTTTTTCCACCCGCGGAGAAAGCTGCCGTGCGACCCTTCGGTCCAGACAGCGTCCCCCGGCCCGGCGATAGAAAAGACATCAAGACGCTTGTTGTAAAGTCCAAGACTCGCGCGGTGAGGTATAATACGATAAGATGACCCGTTTCCAATATTCCCCGCTCTATTCCGACCACCAATTGCTATTTCCCAGTAGAAGCCATGAGCCCGAGACAGCCGTTCGAAGTTCAAGTCCGCAGGTTGGGTCCCATGCCGCTTGGGAAGTGATCCGAAAGACCACTCAGCAACCAATCCTCAAAGGTAGGGAATCGCTTAGGCGCCACCGACAAGGACGTTGTTGACGGGGATGTGGACTGCATTCGTTCATTAGCTACGGCTGCTCTGGTGTTGACAATGTCCGACAGGGGCCGCAACACTCGGAAGGCGACACATACTTAGCTTGACGATGTATCCGATGAATCCCATGATGAGGAAACCAGTGCCAACAGCCTGGCTGATCTTGATGAATTCGCGCTTGTCGGCTGTGTTGCGCATTAGCCAACTGCTATCAGGAAAGAGTCACGGAGGCGAGAGGTCACGAGGGAGCAGGAGACTCACGCTTCTGGCTGCGGTTGACGAATTGCATACCCTCGCGGAGGAACTCGCGAGGCACGTTGAGAAGCTCTTGGACCTGGTCGGACATGGTGACTGTGTGAGGAGGATGATTTGGGGGGTGGTGGTGCAATGAGTGGAAAGGGTGGATTGAGGACAGAATGTTGGATGGGGTGGAACGCGAATGGGCCAGCTGTGCTCTTCGGGGATGCGAACTAGTCGGAGGAATTGCCCCCGTTCAGGAGCCGGACTATAGTTGAGCCGAGATAATGGCCACGTATCACCTGATCGAGATAAATAGCTTGGCACTTGTGGCTGATGAGGCCCATGTAATTTCTGTGGCTAGTGGGCTTGTGGCTGGTCTCGTTATTCACACAATGCTTTAGTCGAGAAAAATAATCTATGTCCCAGTCAGAGTTCTACCCGATGGATGGTATCTCCTATCAGATCTATATCATGTGCTTTAAGCATCAGTGCTGAGTTGCAAATCTATCCTGGTACCATCCCTCGCATGCTCTCTCCTCTTTCGGCCTCCTTCTACTTGGAGTTGAATCAAAGCAGGACTGAGTAGCTTGTGCATTATAAGAGGCTTTCAAGCTAAGTCCATCACCGCACTATGTTATCTATCCCAGGTAAATATCTTAATAGTCATGGGTCAGAACACAACCTACAATGAAAAGATATACTACAAATGCCTTCTGGCTGAGACTGGGATAGCATGCGCACTAAGCACTAACCGCAACATTATTACCTGTTTGGGTATAGATAATTCAGAACCCCTACCCCAGCTGTGGATGCTGCCGCTGCTGCGTCTCCGTCAGGGCCCACTCAGTCTACAATTGTCCAGGCACCAGAAACCGGTCACATATTACTGAGCCCACGAAACCTCCGACCGAGAAATCTAGTTTTTTGATCATGTCCAGTCCTTTCGACCGCTGGGATTCTTTCCTGCTGGAATATTTTCTCCCGGACACTCTCATTCAGTATGCCATGTGGACAGAAAGACCTACGTCTAAAGCGGCGTCACTGCGTTCATTGTCGACGTGAGCATGCAAAGGTATACTATACTCGACCGTACCCCGAGAAGTTATACGAAGAACTCATGGTCTATAGTGCGATGGTGGTAGACCTTGCTCAATCTGCGCGAAGCGAGGACTCAACTGCGCCTTCTGCACGCCTACCTCCAACTTCACCATCGTCTCTTACCAGCACCGCCTACAAACAAGTGCCTAGGTGCTTACCGGCCTACAAATGAGTCGTCATATACCAGTTTCTTTTTCGACCTCGTGGGCTCTGCCACCTCGCCATTCATCCAACTTTTCTGCTTTGAATCCATTGGGGTTCTTTTCCGCCACGATGATTTAGTGCGCAGTGCTGTAACCCTCGTGGGTGAAGCCTACGTAGCTCAAAGTGCTAGTTCGATCAAATCGAATTCTCGCCTCAACCATCACGCGCGGTCTACACTTTCCGATTTGCGTTCAAAGGTCCTGATGTCACTTAAGCCCAGCCTATAGCAGCAGTGTAGGACTGGAACTCTCATCTCCGCCTCTTTGCTAGGACTCGCCGACGTATGCTGTTTGCTGTTCTCATACTCGTTTCAGCTTCTGACCGGGGAATAACTATAGCTGCTGCTATATGCCAGTGGAAGTAGCTGGTGCTCGCTGATCTCCCAGATTGTGTCGTCATTGTCTCAAAAGGATGGTCCTTATCCTCTATCGTCTTTGCAATCGAAGGTCCGTCGGTTCTTACGAACATGTGGTACCTTCTGGGCCATATGCTGGGAGGATAACGTTTTCTGGGGGATAGGGGCGTCAACATTACCCGATGTCTCGACTTATTTGCTACAGAGCATCGATCTACAATGGGAAGTTTTGACGACATATCTAGAGCAGATGGGGCTTTTGCAATACCAGTGAGTTAGTCCCCGATGACGACCCTTTTCGACCATGAATTGATCAGTCTAGCAGGCTACTGATCTGGACTGACATCGGTCAAAGCAAGTTTCCCTTCATACTCATATCAGCTCCGAGCATATCATGGCCGGGATCGAGCTGGTAAACCAGGCTGCTAGTCTACAGCAAAGAATTATCTCGGTAATCATTTCTACTCAGACCGGGAGTCTGATTTGGTCTGCCAATCAATAAAGCCATATTATTACTGGGCTCTTGCTGGCCTATTGCAGATCTTCCATCATCCGACCTGGCTCAACCTTGCTATTCCGCTTCCTGTCACGGATGTCTCGTTGGCCCATCAGCAAGCCGCTCAGGCTTTTGCATATATAGAAAATCATCTTCCTTCTCTCAAACTGGAGGCAGTCATTTATGCACCAGTTCTCAATGGTTTTAGATCGCACCTGTCCGACACCCCGGAACGCGACCGAGCTCTTGCAGTTATCAAATCGCTACGATGCGTAGGATTCTCGGTGGCAGTTCTAGTTGAACAGGAAATGCAGATCGAATGGGCCAGAATTGGAGCCTTCGAAGGCGCTCGGTAAAGTGATCAAGTTCACGTTGACTCTCTTTTGCTTTTGCACTGTACCTAGCGGATGCATAATCACGGCCGCGCTAGTCGCCCAGCACTTTCCTGCAAGGCATCAACTATTCATCCCATGCATGTTGTCTTGGCAACCCCTCTTTTATGCACGTATCTTATCAATGTTCACAGCTTATAGCCGAGCTTGATCTTGTCGAACACTTTCGCTCAAGTCGTGCCAACTGATAAGCCATGCATGTATGATTCGTCACTCGTGCATAACTCATCATTCGCCCTTCCGAGAGACCTATAAAGCCGAAGATCGCGACCTAGCACTTTCAACATGCTGTGTCGAGCATCGCCATACACTCAACCGCCATGTCGGTCCAGGCAGCCTGGGAGAGCTGCTCCAAGATTGATACTCTGTTCATCCTTGTGTGTTCTGTCTTTTGCTGGCTAATCATCCCTGCTGTCGGTCTTGCCTACTCGGGCTATTCTACACGCTTTAACAGTCTCGCATCCTTCTACCCTGGTTTGCTGGCGGTCGCTGTCTGTACCATTCAATGGTGGATGATTGGGTACTCTCTCGCCTACAGCGAGGGCAACAGCGCTATTGGAGATCTCAGCAAGGCGTTTCACATTGGAGTTCTTGCTAATCCCGTTGGTTCTATCCCCGAGATCTTGTTCTCGGAGTTCCAGCTCATCTTCTGCGCTACTGTGTGTGCAATCGCGATCGGTGGTGCCTGCGAGCGTGGGCGACTACTTCCCTTAATCCCTTTCATCTTCGTCAGTCACCCTTCCTGGTACTCCCGGTCGGCTCCGCTAACACTGTATAGCTATGGTGCACCTTCATCTATGCACCTCTTGCCCACATGGTCTGGTCTGAAACAGGGTTTCTCGCCAACCTTGGTGCCCTCGACTTCGCTGGAGGTACGCCAGTCCATATTTGCAGCGGAGCCACAGCCACAGCTCTAAGTGTGTATCTATCCTATCCTCTATTCCGTTCACGACGCTCCTCGTTGCGCACCCCGAGCCATCTCGCTCTTCACCGCCCACACAATACACTTTGTCAACTTCTCGCTCTCATTATCATCTGGAACGCCTGGCTTGCCTTCGACGCGGGCACCACCCTCGCCCTCAATTTCAAGAGCGTCATGGCCGCCTGTGTGACCAACCTATGCGCTGCCTCAGGGGCCATCACGTGGGCTAGTCTCACGCATTACCATACTGGCAAATGGAGTCTAGACAGTACCTTTCTCGGAGCGATCGCGGGACTCGTCCTCATCACCCCAAGCGCCGGCTTCATTGACATGCCGACCGCAATGGGATTTGGTGTTCTCGGCGCAGTCTGTGGCTACCAGGCTCTGCGCATCAAGTTCACCAAACACGCGAAGTACTACCGCTGGGTTGATAATGGCGATACTTTCGCCACGCACTGTCTCGGTGGGTTTCTGGGCACCATCGTCACGGGCCTCTTTGCGCAAAAGGAAGTGGCTGCGTATGACGGAGTCACGGAGATCACGGGTGGGTGTCTCTTTGACGGGAATTGGAGACAACTTGGTATCCAAGTCGTCGAGGCGCTGATCGGCTTCGTCTGGAGTTTTGGAGGAAGCTATCTGCTCTATGCATTGATCGATTGCGTGCCTGGGTTGGAGGTTCTGGCTACAGATGAGTATGTTCTGAGGGGTATCGGGTGAGAGAAGGATCGCTAACTTATGTGGACAGTGAGGTTATTTCTGGGATGGACAAGTCTCAGATGGACGAGTCGTTGCACGAAGCTCAATGGGCTGGAGAGGAGGAGTACCATCCATTCCAAGGCTCAGTCCAGATATAGAAGGGCATATCGGTGGCTTATGGATGGATTGGCTCTTTGCTGGCACTGCTTCACTTCTCATAAGCTTGAAGCTGTGCTAAAAAGTGAAAAGAGCGATCTCTATGTTCACTCAGTTGACAACAACCAAGACTTCAGCACTAGACAACGAAAAGCACCTAACACATTCCATAACTTGTGGGACACTCTATACGGTAGATTACTCCGGACCCCATGCAAAATCTGCCTCACAATCACCGGGGACACATTAAGGATTCCTTGAATCAAAATCAAACCAACCTCTTCGGTAAAATGTCCTCTTTAGTCCCTACGCAGCAAACAGAAAAAGCACATGAATTCCGACCGCAACAAAAGAACTCACCTCCTATTCTCATCCATCCCCGGCTCTCCGACTCGCCACTCGTATACTACCGAAACTTTAAACCACCGCCCCTCGGATTCAAAGTTCAACCACAAGTACGGCCTATACGACCCAGGGAAACTGCCCGGACCCCAGACCCACGTGCTCGTGTACAGAAAGCGACCATCGGAGGTGATTGCCGAGTTGCACAGCCATGCTTCATCTTGAGTTCTAGACCCGTCGAGTAGATCTGTAAGCCGCAACACTTTGCTACATAGATCGGGGAGATTTTTGAACCTGTCTAGGTCTCTGGATAAGCAAACTTTCCCTGATGATAGCTTAGCCACTTAGATCATGATACTACGGCTCTGAGAAGAACTTTGAAACCTTTTCACACTAAGAATCAATCAGAATTCTTTCGGCTTTGTGGATTATTGTCTGAAAGTCTTCTATAGCATAAACCAATGATAGCATTGACCGCGTCTTGACTATAGCTAGATCCAATTCATGGGTGCTTGTTCTCTCTGTCAACGATTGGCGCGTCTTGGCTCCTGCAATTGACAGACTGTTGAAAGCTTCGTTTCTTATTTAGCACCGACCACAAATGAAGACATTGTCTGCTGATTGGGTTGCAGACGTAAGTTGTTTTAATCTCTCCTGAAAGTCGAGATGTCTCATACCTGTGGCATCTTCCCTGTATACTTAAATACATTGTTCTCCGACTATGCACCACCAATCTGAGGGAGCGCCCTGTGCAGAAGTTACGGGGTATATCGCCACACTTAACAGAGTTAAGGTTATGTTAGTTGCAATGATATAGTGCAGTAACTTATCAACCTTGAAAAACAAGACCAAGCGCTTGCGTGGTAGATCAAAGGCGAGAGCAATGACAAGGATGAGGAAAATAGGGAAGTAGTTTAGCGATGCATGACGGGAGGCGCTAATTGAGAATGCGATTCTCCTTATATGCTTGGAATTCTCGTATCTAAAAGTGCCGGACAGAGATGACTCTACTGATCGTGATTATTTAGCTGATACATAACCCCAGGAAGGGAGGGGAACTGAACTGCTGCTTTTTGCTTGTCTTGTATGCTACGCTGAGATCTGACGGCGTAAGCCTGTAACAACTCGTACACCAACGCACAGATGCATAACATGAGAGATAGTGAATTGATGCGAGTTAATTTTGAGAGGTCACTTGCAATCGCTTGATAGAGCCGTGCTGTCAGCTTCAAGCCAATTTCCCAAATACTCTCCATACCGACCGAAATTAGCAGCGCTAAGCCTAGGGCTGGTTTGACTCGTGATCCAATGCCGCTGCTCCTTAAGCAGTTTTATTACCTGAAACATAATAGTGGGCCTGGCCGCCTGGCACTATAATTGACTATAAAGTCCTCTACCGGCGCTGTAGATACATCGATAATTCTATGGACTACAAGATTCACTATGGCAGCCGTGCGGCAAGACAGCAGAGACTTTGCCCTGCTATCTGGCGAGCCAAGAAGAACCCCCAAGCGCTTGATATTTTCCTACGTGCTCGACTGGATGTTCATCATGTCTGTAGCGTTAACCCTTGTGCGAGAAGAACACCCATTGCTGAAACTTTTCTTATTTGCAGTCTTCTCGTCATCGTCGGTGCTATCCTATACAGCATCACCGGCTCCGAACACGTCTTCTCCCTCGACGACCCCAGCATTTCGTACCCCTTGAAAGACGACACCGTCTCGATCGTTACCGTCGGAATCGTCTGCTGCGCCGTCCCCGCGCTTCTCATCGCCGCCCTCAGTCTCCTCCTCCCGATCCCCTGGAGACTCCGCCTCTGGGAATGGCACGCCGGGTGGCTGGGGCTGGGTCTCAGTCTCGCCGGCGCCTTCTTCATCACCTCCGGCCTCAAGGACGTGGTGGGCAAGCCCCGGCCCGATCTGCTCGCGCGGTGCCAACCGAACCTGTCGTCCCTCAACATTACCGCGTACGCCGTCAGCGGGCTGGGCGTGCAGCGTCCGGAAGCCCCGGTGATGGTCACCACGCGCATCTGCCAAACGACCGACTCCAAGACCCTCCGCGACGGATTCGCCGCGTTCCCGTCCGGTCACTCCTCGTTCTCGTGGTCAGGCCTGCTGTACCTGTCGCTCTGGCTGGGGGCGAAGTTCGCCCGTGCTGTTCCTGCTAGTGCTGCCCACCACGGGGACGCGTCCAGCCGGTCTGCTGCTGCTGCTGCTGCTGCTGCTGCTCCACCCGCGTATCTACTCGTGCTGACCGCTATACCCATCGGCGGTGCACTCTACATCTGCGGCACTCGCTATATGGACTACATGCATGCCGGGTGGGATATTCTGGGAGGGAGTTTGATTGGGATCGTCTTTGCGATCCTGGGCTTCCGCTGGTATCACGCCCCAACTGGGCAGGGGGTTGGGGGTTGGGGCTGGACGTTGAGTCCGCGGTCAGCGGACCATGCGTTCGGGGTGGGCTTGGTTGCCCCACGGGAGTTTCGGGGTGATGACCACAGGCAGGTGGAGAATCGCGAGGGGTTTCTGGATGTCGAGCTCAACACTATCGATGGAGGCTCGCGGAGTGTGTTGCGGGTTGCCAATCCCTAGGCTGCTTGTTTTAGATTTGGTCTTGATCATGTCCTATGTATATACAATATGCTGTGTGGATCCTTCTGACAGTCTGACTTGCGGCTTCTGTATGCTATTGAGGATTCATGCAATTGCTCTTGCCAACAACGATTCAGCAGAATATTTCTTTCGATAGACAAAGTAACGTATCCATTCGGACCCTTGTTCCAAGAATTTAGATACGTTGAAAAATACCGGGCGCTGACCCACTTCTGGTCTCCGCGTACCAAGTTTCTTTTACGAAATTCGAAGTGGGTTTGAACCCAGACCCAGTCGCCCCAGTATTCAATCAAAATCTGGGGATTACCCACGTGTATGCTCATGTCTCTGATTTCAGTATCCATGAAAATCCAAGTCAAGAATCGACTTGATACCGCGTTGCTTGTTGGGGGCAGAGAAATTTGGCTTTCGGCCGCCCGAACTTCCGAACAAATTTGGGAAGATAGATAAGCGTTGAAGGTACAGATACCAGAGTACCAAAAACTATGTATCGTAAAAAATCGACGTAAGCATTGTGGCTTAGACCAGGGCAGGAAGAACAGGGAGATTGTATGGTGGGAGTAAACTGATATTCAGCTGCAGGACTTGGGTTGATTGTAGCAGAAATAGATTTGGGCTGTTGCCCGTGTGAGCTGCTACTCAGGGTATTCAGCCGGAAAAACCCTAGCTTTCCCCCTGGGAGCTAAGCTTTTACCGAGCTATACCAGAATTGGTCTAACATTGCAATGTTACAAGCTACTATCGTTGCATTAAGCAGGAACTCAGACGACCGTAAGCGACAGGTTGAAGAGAGATTACAGTTGTACTCAAGCACTCAGCGATAACATTGGAAGTAAATACGATAGTGCCCTACAATAGGCTTCTGAATAAAGGCTCAGCACCGCCCATACACTTGGCAGTAGCACAGTGTTGAATCCGGACAGCTGAACAACCGCAACCGAGCTTGATTAGTACAGTCTGCTCCAGACAAGGGACGCTCCAGGCATGACTTACTACACGGGTTCTTTGCCAAAAATAATATGCCAAAGATATTCCATCACCCGGCCGCTGTGCGCATCGTCCAGATCCGTCTCGATGACCCATTGTCGGATCTTCACGTAGTCATCCCAGGGTCTCTCCAGCACCCGCTGTCGGGACACCGCAAACTGCGCACAGCACGGCGCCGCAATCCGGACCGGAATCTGAAAAGCCTTCTCCCCGTTGCTCGGTTGGGGCATCATGATGACCCCCGTGTCGTCGTCGTCATCTGCAGGCGGTGTGCTTGTATTCCTGAAGACCTCCCTGAAGATCTGGGGGGTCAGATGGCCGTTGGGGTATGCGGTCCTCACGCATCCCGGATTCGCGTTGCATCGCAGGTTGACGTAGCCATTCTGCTGGACAAAGTCAACTCGTAACGCTCGCATGGACCAGACGTTGTCGTGTAACGGGGCGTCGACGTGCCACGCCCGGAAGAACCCCGAGCGATGCGCGTGCAGGAAGACGATGGTCGAGGGCAGGTGCTCGTAGTGCTCGATCAGATAGGTCAGATAGGCCATGGATTCGTGGCCCTTGTTGAGCGGGGTTTTGAGCTGCTGGGTGTCGGCCACGGCTTCTTGGGAGGGGTTTACAATGTATATGGCCCGTTGCCAGCTAGGTATACACATGTGGTTCAGCGATGCCTAGCTATTTTGCTGTTGATGGGTTGGAGGGTTGGGGGGGGGGGTTTGGTTCCAACTCACTCGGGCAGTTCTTGCTCGATCCACTCGGTGTTTTCCTCCTGTAGTTTGGCGACGACTATCACCTTGTCACCGTAGTCTTCTGTCATATTCCTTGGCGGTCCTGCTGGGGTGGACCAAGAGTTGAACCAGTCGATGGCATATCGCTTGGCCTGGTACTGGTCGCATAGATCCCGGAGATGGAGGTCCAGGAGAAGGAGGGGGAGGAAGAGTGCTATGCTGAAGCAGAGGAATTGTCGCAGGGGCCATTTCATGATGAAGTGTACTTCCTAAGCGGAATAAAAACCCTCAAGTGACCTATTAAGGTTGAGTAGGGCTTGGAGAGTAGAGGGATGGGAATGCTTGTTTAATACTCATTGAGGAAACCTACCTTATGACTATACCTGGACACCTACGTATGCATACTTATAGGCTTCATCGAATCTCTGATAGGGTTTCCGAGCCCAGCAAACTACACACTGTACATGATAGGAGACTGGTCAAACGCTCTTCATGAATGCAACCAAGGAGCGCCTGGCAGTCCCACCTGAACCGCACCAAGTGGGCACTATCAAGCTTGAATTTGTAGTGGTAACATGTCCAATTTTGCCGGCAGTGAATCTGACGAGTGAGCCATTTACACCTACCCGACTGCATCTCTGGCTTACCGATCACTTGTAAACGCTAATTGACAGTATGCGTACACGTCCTTTGTGTTCATCGGTTGGTAGCCATACTTCAAAGACACGCGTCTGGGTCACCGTGGCGAATGTTTCGGTCTGGTATTCTAATTACATCTCCGAAACCCGCAATACCGCATCAGAGAATAAAATACCCACAGCCACGGGATGAATGAACAAACAAAACCAACATCCACCACCGGTAGGTCGATTTCTTATCAGATCTGACGGGCCTCCATCTCTTACTTCTGCACTTCATCGTAATGAAAGTGTCTCGTGCCACTCCAGCAAGTAGCCATTGCCATTTCAGGGCGGATGCTCGGACATCCGAATATCAACAGTTCGGGGAAAGAAAAAGATACCTCTACGCCAAGAGTGCGTTGTTGTTGGTGCTTCATGGCAGAATGGCGTCCCAGGTGATTCTGGAAAGATCCGCTGTACGTCTTCTGTCCGACTTGAGCCCCAGTTTCCTAGCATGTCCGTGGCTTGGTGAAACTTTGCTGTCTTTCTGTCTCCCTTCCATCCCACAAACCGCGACAAGCACAGATCTGACACCACGCTGACATCTATTTATGTCCTTGACAAGTGCGACCTCTGTCACTCCAGAAAGGTCAGTGGCAAGAACCGTGACACAAGTCATTATACTTTCTTCTCCAGCATGTCGTCTAAGATAACAGCTGATATAGGTGAAATGTGACCGACTCGACCCTTGCATGAACTGCGTGGATGCGGAAGCAGAATGTCGAAGGGCTCGGCCACGGCGCAGTATGCGCCCTAGAGTCTCACGGTAAGTCCCCAGATCTTTCGGTGAGCGGATCATTTGCTCATTGGAATGGCTTCGGGTTGTAACACCCCATCATCTAGAATTTCAGGACTGTCAAAGAGGCTATCAACACTGGAGCAATACATAGGCAATCCCCATGTTCCTGCGGTATCCGCGAGACAGGAACCGAGTCACAACTCCCAAGCGTCTGAAAACAACAGAAATATGATACTAGACATTCCCACGAGCTCCCAGGCTTCCAACATGAGCACGCCAAATATCAAGACCGCAGTCGATGATGGGGCTTCTCAACGAGTCATAGAATCCCCCGCTACAGTCCAGGACATAGCAACGCAACAAGCCTGTGAGGCACGACGCTTCATTCAGCAGGAACTGCGGCAAAGCAACCACTTGTCCTGCAACCGACGCACCATCCTGGAAAGTGCTCTATCCCTTGTAAACAGGATATCTGCGCCATCGTTAGAGAAAGGACTGTTCCATGGGGATACCAGAGAGTCGGGGGATTCCAGTGTATCAGGCCTGGAGGAGTTCACCCTGGAGACGTACTTCATGATGTCAGAGGGTTTGTGTTCAGACGTGAAGAAAATCCTACCCTCTTCCTCTAACATTGAATAGACATAGCACACCGAGATCCGCCCGGGAAGCACTTGCATTGGCCCGACCATGTCTCGGTCAGAAGCCTGGAACATATGAGCCTGTCTCTTGCTGAAGGCAGAGTCGATCGTCAGACATCTCTGCATTATCGCGTCTGCGTCTATACCAAAGCCATCTTTTTCCTCGCCCGTCTGCGGGAACAACAGATGAATGGGCGGCTTCGCAACCATGTTAGAATGACTCGTCATAAATATACTCTAGCAGCTTTCAAGGCTCTAGACCAGGTTGATTTGAGTGGGACGCACTCTCTATCCTTGGTTCAGGCTCTACTGTCCGGTGTATGTTGCACGGCTCTCCTGATCATTTGCATGTGGCCCTCCTGACCATGTCTCGAGTAGGCGCTGCTTCATCAGATGCAAGGGAACCCCACGAAGAGCTGGACGCTAACGGCATTCGCTGCGCGGCTGCTTGTCGCCATGAATCATCACAACATTACCAATGATACACCCGTTCTAACGCAGGAGGAAGAAGATGCCCGCTTCTGTCTTTCCTCCTGCTACTTACTCGATAAATCACTAAGCATGCTTCTCCTTCGACCGCCCTCACTTCCACGCCTGGGAGTAAGTCCTGTCGCACTCATCCCTATGGACGACGGCATGTCGCTCAGCACGATCACCAGAACCACGGTTGAACTAGCGGAAATTCAAGAGGCTGCATTGGAGCTATTCTACAGATGGGCGGGGCCTGGGGATACAAGTAACCCTGCGGCCGAGCTCGATGGGATGATCCAGCAGTTGAATTCGATGAAGATCGTAATCGAGGAGGCAAGCTGTTCCTTAGAAGCTTCCTGCAAATTTGAGCTACAATACTGACCTCAATCAGCGCCGGGCAAGCTCCAGGCCGGAACTGCAGCTGGATTGGATGGCGGTAGAATTCCGATATCACGCGATGGTGACAACCATACTACAGTGCAAATCAAGGATCTGGGGCACGGCTCAGAACCGGGAGGAATGTCTCGAGCATGCGCGACATGCGCTCGAGGCTTTGAGCCGTCTGCAAACAGTTTTCGATGAGGACGGTGCCTTTGTTGGTGCTTACCCGATGTTCTTGACCTGGTGAGTAGAGCTCTTCCTCGTACTTGTATGCCGTATCCTGACGAGGTTTGACTATTCAAGGACTGTCTTCTCTTACCCCATGACTCCTTTCTATATCTTGTTCTGCAATGTGGTTGGGACGTCGAAAGTGGAAGACTTCCGGCTGATGCGCGACACGACCAAGGGTCTTTATCGGTTCATCGATTTAAACCCTGCAATCGGCAGGTTATACCACTTGTTTACTCAGTTTCTCGTCCTTTGCAGTCCCCTTGTTGAGGGGGAAGCAGAGAGTACCAGTCCCTGCTCTGTCCAGCAAAACATGAACCTCGACCCTGAAGAGCCCAGCGTTCCATCAGATGCCGGTATCCCCCTACTTAACACAGACCATCAACGCTACAATGGCTCGGCCCAGGGAGAAACTGAGGGGGCTAGATTTTTGGATACGACAACACGACCAGAGATGGATTCGTGGTGGAACAATGCTCCGATGTGGGAACTGTTTGGCACTCAGCCTTCGCTCGAATGGGTGAATTCTGAGATCACCGATTTTGTGGCAGATGGCTATCCGTAGGTGTTGAGGGTTTGACGATCAGGAATTAATGACCTAATATTAGAATCTGCCTACATCGATCTTTTTTTCTTTCTAGAGGGTTATGTGAAATGTCCTCTGTGGTACAGCGTATGTTGTGGTAGTTAGCATGGCTGCCTAGAGCTTCGTGCGGGCCAATCCCGGCAGCAAGCACCTTGACGCAATGGGCCGAGAGTAAAGAATTACACAATACTGATGCTTCCATGCTATTCGAGTTCATCCAAGGGTCTCTTCAGGCAGGCCGCGTCAGCTCCAGGGAAAGACAAGCTTTCGGCACTGAGGCTTGGCTCGGACCCATCGGTATTGTGAACGTACCACACTTTACCAACTTGATGGCCTCGCATCGTTTATCCTCCGCTTACCCCCCACCCCGAATGATCTGCTCAACATGCTCCGTTAATTCCTATCTGTGAATCACTACAGACACTTCCCAGCAATGACTTTCACCCAACCATATACTCCAGCTTCTTCCTCTCGGGCCATCTCCATCCCACAGTCGCTGGACATGGTGCCCGAAGAAGACTCAGAGATGGATGACTCGCAATTCGAGACTCTACCTCTAGACAACTTGCAGAAGAAGTCAGCCAGCAGTGGGCGATCTATACCTTTTCTCGGACCGTTTCTCAGTCTCTACGCTTCAAGGACGAGACCTCGTCGATCCTTCCCTGCACGCCCGCTCTCCCGAAAAGCGCGGATCATCCAAGCATTGCGGCGGCTATTCTGCGGCGTGGTGTTCTTTCTGTGAGTGTTGCAGACCTTCCCAGACCCGGGTGTATATCTCTCTTCAACCAACTGACACGGGATCATCCTCCAGCGGCACATTCAAACTCGCCTCCCTCACCTGGAACACCCTGGTATACCTCTTCCCCGACGACCTCGACGCCCGCCTCGACGGCTGGCTCGTCCCCGGCGGCCGGCCCTCGATCTTCTCGCACTGGACGACGCACGGGGTCGAGCCGGTGCACTGCCACTCGCACAACGACTACTGGCGCGAGGTGCCGCTCTACTCGGCGCTGCGCGCGGGCTGCATCGGCGTGGAGGCCGACATCTGGCCGTCGAACCACGACCTCCTGGTCGGCCACACGCCGTTCACGCTGCACGCCGACATCACGCTGCGCCGCCTCTACCTCGACCCGCTGCTCGACCTGCTCCAGAAACACAACACGCGCAGCAGCCAGCTCCAGCCCGCCCACCGCGGGTCGCACCCGCCCGCGGGCGTGTTCGCCACCGACCCCGCGCAGACCCTCGTCCTGCTGATCGACTTCAAGACCGCCGGCGAGGAGCTGTGGGAGCCCGTGCAGGCGCAGCTGCAGCCCCTGCGCGCCGGCGGATTCTTGAGCTACTACAACGGCACGGCGGTCGTCGAGCGGCCCGTCACCGTCGTCGCCACCGGCGATGTCCCCTTCCATCGCCTCGTCGCCAACACGACCTACCGGGACGTCTTCTACGATGCGCCGCTCGACCAGCTGGAGGGGACTCCGCCGCGGGCGTCGGGAGGCAGGGTGGAGGATTCCCTGCCCGCTAGCTTGGACGGTGACGACGACTACACCCGCGCGAACAGCTACTACGCCTCCGTGGACTTCCGGCGCACGATCGGGAGCCTCGCCGGCAATCGGTTCTCGGAGGCGCAGTTGGCCCGCGTGCGCGCGCAGGTCGCCGCCGCGCACGCCCGCGGGCTGAAGGTGCGGTACTGGGGCACGCCCGGGTGGCCGCGGGGGTTAAGGAATCATGTTTGGCATGTGTTGGTGAGGGAGGGGGTCGATCTGATCAATGTGGATGATTTGTATGAGTCGACGCGGCAGGATTGGCGGAAGCATCGGAGCTGGGGCCTGTAATCTGGGTTTGGAGTTACATCATGTATTTACTAGCTTTGTTCATGGTATACGTTCAATAGCTCTCTCAGGGGGGGGTTTGGTTCTAAGTAGAGATCTAGCGTCGATGTCAAGAGTGATGAGACTTGTCTTTGGGAATAGGACTTGATGTTGGGCATCCATCAAAAGTGATCTTGATTTCCCTCTCATTCATTTTCTTTGTATTTTGCCTGCAACCCAAATCAGGCATTCTACACCCAGCCACCCTTTATCGAACTCTGGACAGCAGACGTTCGTTAATTGGTCATGCCATGCCCTAGCGCGAAAAGCAAAAGAGAAGTTTAAACTTTTTCACCGAGACCCGAGTATCAGACCGAGACGCCGCGTATTGTAACAGCCGTTTCGGTCTTAACCTCGGGGTGTTGAGCCCGACCCCGAGATTTGCGCGATGCCGAGAGATCTAGTTTATTTACTCGGTCGACCAAACTCATCACCAGCCTTTCCTTATCGGTATTCGCGCACCCGTACCAGCACGCGGCAAGAACGTGAATTTACCTAAGCTCTCCACCTGAGTTGTAGACATTACGGAGGCAGTGACCGAAGCTTCTTAGGTCTACATTTGTGTTGGATTTTCCGAACCGAACCAGAGACCGCCGATAGTGATCCAAGATGCTCCTGACTTCACGCTCCCATGGGCACAAGGGTCATATCAAACCTCATGCTGTGACTGCGGGATCGGAGCTCGCAGTACCGTCCCCCAGATCAACAGCGCAACCGCCAACATGGCCACTAAGATGGGCTGCAGGACTGTTACCCCCTTGGCCTGTGCGATCGCGCCGATCGTGAAAGGGAAGACGGCTCCCCCGCCCATCGAGAACGCAGCTGCAAACCCAATGGCGGCGACATGCAGGTGCCTTGGCAACAACCGCGTCGCAACCACCACAACGCCGGGGAAGATGGTTCCCAAGAAGAATCCCACCAGTGCCACGGCTACGGCGGAGACGACAAACTCCGGGACGAGCCAGAAGACCATCTCCAGCGCAATGGCAAGCAAAATGTACAGGATAATCGATCGTTTCTCACCAATGCGAGGGGTGACAAACCCCAGCACAAAGCGGCCCAGCGTAACGCCGAGCCAGAAGCCGGTCCCAGCCATGCCCGATGCAAAGGGGCTGCCATGGCGGACACTGGTCATGAAGACGACGATCCACCCTCCAATTGCGACCTCGATGCCGCCATACAGGAAGAGAAAGATAGAACAGATCCAGGTGACTCTGTACGTGAGTGAGAGTCGGGTCTGGTGGAGAGAGCTCCCACCGCCCTCTCGACCCGCAGAAGAGGGATGATCCTGCTGGTACCTGGATGCAGTCTCCGCCCAGAAGGCGCTGGTGGCATTGACGAGTCCAAACACCGCCGTCCCCGTCTGGGACTTGCACATTAGAAATGGCAAAACAAGACACAGAGCCCGTGCGGAAAGGACTGATTCGACCTACCAGAAGGTAATAATATGAGTTCCATTCCCAGCCAGCTTTCGTGATCACGCTCGTCGCAATCAGCGGACTCACTGTAGCCCCGATGCCATAGAAACCGTGGAAGCATCCGAGGACTTCGTGAGAATTGGCCATACTGCTGATCCACACGTTCCACCCGGCATTCTGAATCCCGCTACCCAGTCCGACAAAGACGTACATGATCACCAGCACCGGGAAGGGGGGACGTGTGGAGATGACGGCAAAAGCAAGCAAGTGACATGCTGGGCCGATAAAGGCCACGCCGCGACGACCCAGGCGCTGGTGGATCAGATTACTAACGACCGCGGAGATAGTGTAACCCAGGAATGGGGACAGGAATATAAGGGAGATTATAGTATAGCTCTTGTCGTAGGCGAGCTGGAGCTGGAGCATGCAAAGTAGCCTGGATTAGCACTGTACCGTACGTGCTCTTCTGGGCGCCGAGAAGGTGGTGGTACAAACGTAAGGGATTATCGCCCCATATGCTGCATCATTGGCGCCCATGATCAGTGCGCCCCAGAAGGTGGCCAGTACTCTCCAGATCATAGTCTTTGATCCGTTCCATCGCAGGGCGACGGTGACCGCGTGGGAGGGCGGAGTGTCATTCTCGGGAGCGGGGCGAGCGGGAACAGATGCAAGGTGTATAGCATTGCTGGATGAGACGACCGAGGGTGGGCGAGTGGGATCGAGATTCATGGCCATGGCGACCACCAACTCGGTATCTGTTAAAGGACATATCCAGAATCTTGGTGGTGATTGATATGGTGATGTGGGAATCTCGGAATTATAACATTTTAAGAGGTCAGTCGGGGGGAGGGGGTGAGAGAGGGAGAGGGGGTGTCCCGTGATTGCCAGTTGGCGCGGAGTTACTCGTGTAGGGCGACGGTTGGACGACGGTTAGAGCACTACGTACCAATGCGGCTAATGACAGTAAGCAGGTCATGCAAGGTGTGGGGTTTGTTTGCTGATTAATGTCAGATTCCGATGCGAGCTTCTACACCCTCCCAACTGCCTCACCGTACCAGGTTTACAAAAGGCCCGGCAGCCTCAGACCTGGACCTCAGACCTGGTCTGGCTACAAGAGACCAGAAGAGGGACAACAACTTACAATGGCTGATAACCTGCCACAAGAGGTGAAAGCTTATCTCGAGGAAATCGTCCAGCGTCTGACGGAGTACCTGCAAGACCAGCTCGTGGGGGTATATCTATTTGGGTCTGCGAGTTATGGCGCCTACAAGTCCGGCCTCAGCGACCTTGACGTACAGGCCATAGTGAAGGAGCGGCTGAGCACCGCCGAGAAGCAGGCAGTGATCAGCCGCTTAACCCACGCCGCCTTACCTTGCCCGGCGACAAAACTCGAGTTCGTGGTGTATGCTCAGAGCGCGGTGTATCCGGCCCGTCGGCACCCTCGCTTCGAACTCAATCTCAACACGGGGCTTCACCAGCCCGACCATATCAGCCTCGATCCCGCCAACGAGTCCAGCCACTGGTTTCTGCTGGATATCGCGATGGGACGTCAGCTTGGCTGCAGCCTGTGCGGCCCTGATCCGACCCACGCGTTCGGCGCGATCCCTCAACGCTGGATCCTGGAAGCAATCGCGGACTCGCTCGATTGGCACCACGAAAACGAACTCAGCTCGCCCAACAGCATCCTGAATGCGTGCCGAGGCTGGCGATTCATTGTCACGGGCGAATTCTCTTCCAAATCGGACGGGGCCAAATGGGCCCTACAACAACAGGACTGTCCGGACGTTGTTCGACGGGCAATTCTCGCGCGCAACACAGGCGACAAACTCCCTGCGGCCCGGGCAAGGATGCTCTATGATATTGCTATGACGGCCAACCGGGCCAAACTCGCCCAGATCTAGCTTAACTCGTGCCCCAATCCATGGCAGCAGACAAGCCATCTGAGTTCTAGAGCCAGGGGAGACAATCAAGACCTTTAATTATCTATACTCAGATCTTAGCCAGGTTCAAAAGAGTATGCGAACAGTTGAGTTATCGGGTTCTTGAGGAGATGTGGTGATGTCGAATGACACGATCTTCCTGCGCATCGAATAACAGGATGCTCAGGTCGTTCAGCTACTTTAGGTAATTTAGGATCTCCTGGTTATGGAACCAACATCTTGACGTTGGCCGGATCGAGGTTTCTTGCATTTTGCGGTGGATTGGTTTTGTTGCTGGTGTCTGGGGAAGCATTCCAATCAAAGAACCGTATAAAAGACATTCGAAGCAGTATAATCGAGGCTCTGCGATACTATAACTTGATATACAAGTCATGATTCTACATTCGTACTCTGTTCAGTAGATATGCAGGCTCGTCTGGCAATTACATTAGTCAACCCCCTTGTGTAAGGTACTCGGAGTAGTCAGTCAGCTTCTACACCAATCACCAGCCCACCCCCAAATCGAACCCAACAACCAGCGATGCGATCTAAATCTAGATCTCGATCGATGGCTCGATGGCTCGATTCACCCCTCGATGATCCAAGATCCCTATGGCCTTTCTTGCAGTGTGATTGGATACCCATCTCACAGTCAGCAGGCACAGCATAGCACAGCATAAGAAGACAAAGGATTGTGTGGTCGCGTTGCGTGGTGCGATCGGGAATTCGACGCGGGATCGCGATGGGCGATCGATGATCGAGATCGGGTTCGATGGATGACGATGCTCTCTGTGCTGGTTGTGGCGTTGGTGGGCATACTCGCTGCTGTACTCGGGATTCTTTGCTGTGGCTGGACCTGGACTGGACTGGACTGTGGCTTGGATGCACTGCATATATAGATACGAGGAGTGTATGGAGTATGGAGTAGGGCTGCCAGGATGCGATCTCCGGCCTATCGGAGTTTAGTTTTAGCCTTTGGTGAGGGGGTTTTGGTGATAGATCTTATCGGGGGTGGGGGTTGGGGGCGGGTCCCATACTCTACTAACTTACATAGTACACTATAAGTTAGTGACTATACATAACTGTAGTCAAGAGAGTGGGGTTCTGTACTCTAGTTTAGTGTTTACTCTAATCTTAACTTTTGTGGTTGAGTCAACTTGAGTTGTATTTGAGGTTTAGGTCAGGTTGTTAGTCCGATTCGACGTGTCGAATTGTGTGGCTGGTCTAGCGCTGGTGGAGGAAGTGAAGTGACTCCGTACCTTAGTTTTGCTGTTGACTTTTCTTAGAAGTTAAACATGACTAGAGAGTCAGCACTAGTTCATGCGCATACTGGTACACTCTGAAGACAAAAGATGTATCATCTGGAGTAAACTTCAAGTACTAAACTTACCAGAAGCACGGAAGCTAAACCATACAGTAGATTTGACCGTGGTGGATTTTCCGTAAATGTCAACTTCTACGAAGTAGGTGATTATACAGAATTATTCTAGACCCAAAGAGATGGATAGAGATACAGTACCTACCGATAGTTCCAAAGAACCATCAACGATTCCAGAACTGTAAATGTACCATTCGCCGCCAATCACATTAGCCACCTACCTACTTGACTAACCACCCTAACTAGGTTAGTTAGTAAGTTGACAACCCAGAGCCCTGACTAATCCCCACCCATGGAAACACCACACCACAACCCAAACAGACTCAGATACATCATACATCATAATGATACCACACACAAGATCTAGAATCCCACCCCAAATCCGAGAGCGAACGCTGGGTCCGGCTCCGGCTCCGGCTTCCGGGCAATGGAAACCTTACTCACTCGGCTCCGTCCAGCCCACGCGTTCTCGCCCAGCACATTTGACTCGCGAGTCGCAGCTAACGGCATTCAGCCAAGGTCGGTTTCCCACGAGTCAGACTTTCCAGATCAAAAATGTGAGGTGTTTCATCTGCTAGTCTAATGCCGGTGCTCGTCTCGAGATCCCCCATGCCACATCCATGCAGGAGAAACTGAAACCTTAGTTTTACTTGCGCCCTTGCTTGCCGAAGTTTAAAGCTGGGGGGGGGCCCGCCCCGGGGAGAACTGCCGCTTTGGCTGGTTTAGGCAGGTGAATAGTTACCTATAGGCTGTAACTTAGTTAACTAAGTTACGGAGTATTGGTAATCAGCTTTTGCCATTAACTAACTAGCACTAGCATTGTTCCTTGCTGAAGGAGGGATGTGGGTTTCTAATCATACGAAGTAGGGATGGGGGTTGTCTGTTTGTTTGTTGAATCAGATCATGGACTCGAGAGTGGAAAGTAACAATGATAGATGATTATTCATGACCAAGACTCAGCTTGACTGAAGACAATACACATAACAAAAGGAAAATGTCATAACTTCAGTGGTATATACATCCATCCCATCCCTCCCCATAACCCACAGACCAGACAAATACAACCAAGGGTATAATTCTGTACAGTACTCGTACACGCAAAAACAAAAACTTTAAACCATACTATGCTCATGACACGAATCATCCCCGGCCGACGAGGTCTGCGTCACCTCGAAGGTGCGCTGGATCCCGCCGAAGCCGCCGCCGCCGCCACCGCCGGGGCCCCCCGCGGAGCCCGGATGGTCGCGGTCGCGGTCGCGGCGGCCGCGGCTATCCTTGCTGCCGGGCGATCGTTCGCCCGACAGCCCCGCCGTGAGCTGCTCCTCGCTGCTGTTCGACGAGGTCAGCGGCCCCCGCTGACTGTGGATGGTGGTCACCGTCACCGCCAGCTTGTCCGGGCGCAGGCGCCCCTGCACGGCAGCTTCGTCGAGCGATCCCAGCGGCATGGGGCGTTCGTGAGATCGGGCGTGGTGGTGAGGGTTGTTGCTGGCGCCGCCGCCGATGCGACGCGATCCGGAGGGGCCGCCGAAGGGCGAGCGGGCGTAGTAGTTGGGGTCGGAGTGAGAGCCCAGCCAGTGGCGGACGAGGGGGCGGAGGGTCGCGAGACTACCGGCGGTGATTCCGAGGCCGGTTTCGATGTTGGACCAGAGTGCGATTTCGACAGTGGCATCTAGGAGACACAAACAAGAATTAGCTTTGAAGGATGGTAGGCTGGGCTGGGAAGAGCGGAGGAAACGTACAGAGAAAGTCCGGGTCGTCAAAGGTATGCACCCAGGGAATGCGGATGATCGTCGCGGATGAGGCACTAAACATCGTCAGTCAGTCAATCGGCCAGGCCACTCCGACGCAAACCAAAAACATACATGCAAGCCATGCCCAGAATGCCCACAACCGCCAACTTGGTCTGCTTCCGCATGTGCAGGTTCTTGACAATAAAAAAAGGCAAAATGCCCACGGTGAAATCGCACAGCGCCGCAAACGCACTGTACACGTAGGTCATGGCGATGATAATCTCCATATTGATGCAGACCCCATGAATGCTGTCGTCGAATGCCTTGCGCGTCCAGAAATAGGAGACGGGCTTGCACTGCAGCAGCATCAGGAACATGAAGACCAGGGCGGCGACGACGGTCAACACCATCACAATGCGCAGGATCCAGATGTGTATGCGCTTCACGGTGATGCGCAGCAAGAAGATGCACACGGAAATCTTGCAGCCCATGGCGGAGAAACAGTATGCGATTTCGCAGAACCACCAGTACTATTGTGAGAGTCAGTAACCCCGTTCCGTTTTTTTTTTTTTTCTTTGGACTTCCGCCGGACGGTATCGTACCTCCATGGCTGTCACCCGCTGGTGCGCATCCAGGACACTGAAATGTCGACCAGTGCCGTAGATGGCTCCTCCGATCATACATCCGGAGAACATGCAGTAAAACAAC